AAGGAGGGAGGGAGGGAGGGATGAAGGAAGGGAGGAGGAGGGAGGGAAGGCAGGCTTCAGCTCTGTGGGGGCCCGAAGAGGCTCCTGGGGGGTCTCTCCTGCCAGGACCAAATGGCCTGATGTGCAGAGCAGGATGCGAGGCGCTGTGAGGCCCCAGGAGCTGGACGGGCGCTCAGGGACTGTCCCCTGAGCGGGAGCCAGGCCAGGCAGAGCACTGTGAGCACTGTGAGCGGGGCGTGAGGGGGTGGAGGGTGGAGAGAGGCAGACAGGGAGCCGAGGGAAGTGCAGGGGCAGAGGCGTGCTGCTTAGCAACCGCAGGAGAAGATTTAGGGAAGTGACAGGACCATTTCTCCCCGAGCCTCAAAGGGAGGATTTTTTTTTTTTCTAAAGAGCTGCCACCTACACTGGTGAATCTGGTTGTGGCGTCTCAGAAGGCTGGCTAGGACTGGGGGGCTCCCCAGAAGTCGGGACCATCGCTGAGGAAGGCTGGCCGGCCCCCGTGGCTCTCAGGGACTCCAAGGGGACCTTTCTCCTGGCCCCTGAAAGCAAGGGAAGGAAGCCTCGAAGGCAAGACGTGGAGACACAGCCTCAGGATCCTCTCAGGAAGGTGCTGGGTCTTCTCCCTTCCTCTTCTTTTCCCCAGGACCCTGCTGGCAGCCCCAGTCCTGCTCCTTCCTCCCCACTGAGAATTCTCAGTTGCTTTTCTTTCTTAATTTGATTTTCTCTGGCTCAGAGTGGAGATCAAAAGAAGAAATTCTTTCCAGCCTTTTAGGAATAATTCCCAGAATCTCCCACTGGAAATGCATATATAATTACCACCATTAAAAAAAAAATCTTTCTGGTTCTCTTCTCCATTTCTTTTCCATCTCCGCAGCAGGCTTGGGGAAGTGAGGGGAGAGGGAAGCTTCTAGAGTATCTCTGTGCTTGCAGGTTCAACTGCATTCACCATATTCTTGCAGGCAAAGCATGCCCCGCCGGCCCCGCAGCACAGAATTCTAGATGGTACAGGCAGGAAATGCAAATAGCACTTCGCTAGGGTTCAACACCATGGAATCACCTGGTGGGAAGTTATTCCCTTTCTAATTTGTTTTAATTGTCTTCATTCCATCAAGTCTCGAGTTGGTGCTGGTGCTGGGTATGTCCTTAACATTCCCTGACGCTTGCTAACCTTCCTTTTAAGAGCAGCAAGCAGCAATCCTCAGCCCCACAGCAAGCAAGAGCGACTAGCTGCAATTTTATATCAGTGCTGTTTTGCATTGTGATTAGTGTGGTGTGTGCCAGGAGGCCGGGGCGGGGGGCGGGGGGCTACTCTGTATTTGTATTTATGGCTGGTTCCTTTTCAGATGGAAGACAAATAATTAGTAATTAATAAAAATCGAAGCGGAACAGCGATACACTGCCTAATGGCGAAGGCTTTTGGAAAGGTCCCCAGTTTGTCAGCCCCTCCCCCCAATCCAGGATACCAGCCTTCCCCCTGGCAGGCTGCGGGTCAAGTGCAGGGAAAGATCCTATTCAAGGTCAGCGGGTCGAGTTGAGCCGCAGTTGGCACCAAGCAGCCTCAGATGGGAATTTTCCATTTTTGTTTTTTGGAGCTACTCAGCCTGGCTTTGCACCCACTCACAGCCCATTCTGTTCCCTGGGATTCCAGAAGCCAGTTCATCAAGGTCTACTTTGGGACACAAGGCCAGAGAGCGTGGGTGGCTGCCAAGGACACCTATCTTTTGGCTGCCATACCCGATTTCCTTTCGGACAACCACCAGTCTGTCCTCTCGGATCCAGATTTGAGTGGAGCAGACCCACCCATGGCTTTAGGGCTGGCGTGCCATCCGAGCCTGGCTTCCTCTGGGCATCCCATTCCTCTGGCCACCATGATGGGTGGGTTCAGGGAAGGGCAGAGAGATGCATGGAGACTCTTGCTGGGAATACTGGGGGCTGGCTCTTTCCCACTGGCCTTGATCCTGAGCCGATGAGGCTTGGGAGCTCCTGCAGCCCTTTCTGCCACCACGAGGAGGGAGCCAACCACGGGGGAAGGGGGCTGAGAAATGGAGAGAGGGAAACCCGATTCTGATGGTATCATTTCCATCCCTGGATCCAGCTGTGCCTGAAGCTAGCCTCTACCCTTGGCTGCCTTTAGAGTCCCCACGGAGCCAACAAATTCCCTTTCTCATGTAATCCAGTTAGGATCAGTGCTTTGGTGACTTGCAACCACCAAGTCTTAACTGATAAAACGGCTCGGTGGAAATCCTTGGCCGCCGAGACACAAAGAATGCAGAGGGCTTCTGTTACGTGTGGAGGTGAGTGGCATTTTGTCACCGTACGCAAACACTGGTACAGGGAAAGCTATTGGAGCTCCAAATTCCAGATGACTAAGTGGTAGGCACAGGCTTGTTTACCCCTTGTAACAGTCCTACATGACTGCCTACTTTTGTCACCATTTTATAGACGGAGAAGACTGAGGCCCAGGGGGTCTTGGTGAACCTTCGAGGTTCTTGCCCCTTAGGACTATGTCATCCCAGCCACACCTCTACAGCAAACAAGGAGAATGCCCACCGGTACCTACAAAGCTCTGGGAATGTGTGGTTGGGAAGGGACCAAGGGGTGAGGCTCTCAGGAGGCATGGGGTGATATTTATGGAGCAGGTGGTGTGAATGTCCCCATCCACCCCCAACCCCCCAGTCATGGGGTGCCCAGCTTCCAACGGCTGCATGCTGGCCTGCAGAAAGGGCGGTAACTCTTCTTTACCTGCGGTCCAACACAGAAAGATGGAAAAGGCCCTGAGTGTAGATCAGAACTCATGAGCTGCCCCAATCAATCATTTCACTTTCTGAGGCCTGCTGTTTTGGCATCTGGAAAATGGAGACCCCAGCTCCTTGGCCTGGCTCATCTGCCCCAGTAACAGGAGCATCAGATGAGGACAAAGATGCGAAAGTTTATTTGCACAGTCAGGAGCAGGGTTGTGGGATGGAGGGAATCCCTTGGCTTCCCGGAGGTGGATGGGCAGGCCAGGAAAAGGTGTTAAGCCACACTTCCTCCTCCCCACCCAGGCGGGCGGCGCAGATTCAGGCCCAGTGTGACCTGAAAGGAACCTTTCTGTCCCCAAAGCGAGAGAGATAAGAACTGTGAAGGAGAGAAGCGAGCTCGGCTGCAGGCACTTGGGGGTTTATTTTTACCCTGTTATCTCTATCCTGAAATGTCAAGCGTGAAGCTGCCTCTCTCTCACCAGCCCCCCAGCCTCCCCAGCCATTCAGCGTGGCAACGCAGCCTGGAAACAGGCCCCATTCTCCTTCTCCGGTTCCTCTGCCTTTCCAAGAGAGTCACAGTGCTATGGAGACGGGAGGCATGGAAACCCTGAAATAGACAAGTGGGAGGTGAGACCTTTTATTTGGGTTCTGGAACAGGCTCACTTCCTTCTAGAGGCCCCGGGGTGCAGAGGAGGCCCTTGGCACTGCTGGGTACCTATTCTAAGGTTTGCATCAAATTGGCTCTTTATGTTGCAAGACTCAGAAATCCCTACTTAAACGGGGTTATGTAATAAATAATGTTTAATTGTCTGAGGCCACTGAAAGGCCTAGCCAAAGGTCAGGCTTCAGGCGAAGTCTGATCAAGGGGTTTGATGCTGTCCCAAAGCTTCAGTTTGCTCCATCTCTCAGCTCCATCTTCTGTGGTGTCGGCTTCATCCTCGGGCACCATGCTGTGCTCCCCAACAATCTAGCAGTTCCAGAATCTTCCTCCATGGTCACAAATGGCTGTAGCAGTGGATCTAGACCTTACATCCCCATACTGACAGCTTCCAAGGAAGAGAGAGGAAACTTCTTTTGGTCAGACGTTACCAAGAAATGTCTTCTTGTGTTTCATGGGCTTTGACTGGGTTATATGGCCATCCCTGAGCCAATCACTTTGGTATAGGGGCAGGAAGGTGAAAAAACACATTGATTAGATTAAGCAAACCAGATTCCCAAGAACAGGGATGCAATGGTTTCCTGAAGATTCTGAGCACTATACCCGAAAGGTGATGGGAATGGATGCTGAGCAACAATCAGGAGACTGTTTTGTGCTTTATTCACTTTGCTTGATCCTTACCTACCCAGGAAAGCCCCCAAGGTTAGACCTGACTGTTCTTTCTTATCCAGAAACAGGCCAACATCAGTTTCTTCTCTATCTGTAGGTTAACCTGGGGTTCTGAGTTCTAAGAGTCCTGGGTCTGTTAGTCCCAAAATTTCACCCTGGCAACAGAATCCCTCCCAGGTAGATAGGTAGGCACAGGCTGAAGTGTCATCTGTTTATGTGCCAAAGGCCTCCTCTGCCTTCAAAATAAAACTTACATGCTACGCCCTGGATTCCCTATCACTCACCCCCGATCACACGCTTAATACCAGCTTCTGGTCATTCCTTAGACAAGCCAATCACTCTCATGCTACACAGCCTTTCCCCCTTGATCTTTGTCTAGGATCTTGAATTCCTTTAAATCTTTTCTCAGTTGGCTTTATCTCATCATCCTGGAACCTGCTTCAATGTCACCACTTCTTGGAAGTCTTCTCTGACTGGCCTAGTGCATAAAACCATCTTTGTGATCACCCTGTTCCTCGATGGTTTGAGTATCTCTCTCCCTTCGCTAGACTGTGAGCTCCACGGAGCAAGGATGGTGCTTGTCCTATTGATGTGCAGACCTCCCAATTCCTGGTTATGTGGCTGGCATAGGGTAGGTACTCGATAAAAATTGGTTGAGTCAGTGAAGGAGAATTCCTTTCTGAATGGCCTTGTAAACTTGTAGAGAGCAAGGTAACTTCTGACATTTGTCCCTAACTGGGTGTCTACCAAAACAATGAGCACGAAAGAGACACAATGTGGTAAGTGGTATTTTTTTTCAAACGAAGAAATGCGCTCTCTGCTAAAGGGATTTGCTCCAAGTTGCACGGAAGTTAGTACAGAAAGAGACCTGGGAAGCGCCAATGCTTCTTTGAGGAATTTGTTTTCCTAAGCCAATGCACGTGAACGTTTGAGGGCGTGAAGCTGTATCAAGGTACGGGGGGGGGGGGGCATCTCTCCATCTGGGTCTCTGACTCGGGTGGCAAGACCACCATTCACGAGTAATAGCGTGAAAACCACATGGGATGATACTGTTTACTCCCTTCCCCAATGAGGCAGTGTGAGAAGAATGTCTCATAAGAAGAAGAATATTTTACCTTGTCCACGGCTGCTCCATAAATCAACATCAGAATCTCAATACGCTGATGACTCAGAGGAACCCCCAGGCTCTTGGTGGACACAAACTCTCCTCAGGTCCACCAAGACCTACCAGTCTGTGACAGTCCTCAGGACGGTCAGGTGAGTGTGGTGGGCTCCGTGCAGCTAATGGAAACTCAAAAGGATACCTACATATAGACATCAATTGTCTTTGTACTCAGCAGATGGCATGCCTTCCGGAGCAACTCAAATATTCGGTTGTTGCTGATTCTCTCCTCACCCAATCAGATCCATCCCTCTCTTGGGCTCTCACACGACACTCTAAACTTTGCTCTACAGGACTTCCCAACGTTTGTAATACTATCTATATTTAGGTGATTACTTGAGTAATGTCCATCTTCCCCACCGGACTCCAAACTTCTCAAAGTTAGGGATGACCTCATTGGCTCACTACTGTATCCAGTGGTGTAGGTAACCAACCCCGTGCCTAACTTGTAGAGTGAGCCTTATAAATATTTTCTGAATGGAAGATGGGTAAGTGAATGGAGCTCAGGGTCTGCTGGGAAAGCCTGTCACAGCCAGCCTGACGCAGCTGGGAGACAGCAAAGAGGCTGAACTTTTCAAAGGAAATCAGACCTTGTCACTGTATGACCACCTTGTCCTCTCCATCAAGGCATCTCCTGTGCCTAGAACACTATCTGTCGCAGAGTAGAGAGTCAGCAGATGCTGGGAGAATAAAGAAATGGATGGACACTATTTTTTCCCTTACCAAAGAAGATGGTTGCCTTCTCAAGGATAAATTCCTGGAAAGGGAGAATGGGAGGCGGGGAGCTATAATATACAAACATACTGAACCAAACCCAATGGTTTCCTTTAGGTCATTCCCTTCAGACTCAGTGAGTCTGCTTCTAGGAATCACTATACCAACAGGTCAGCATGGGAGAAGCTCGGAGCACAAATTACCCAAGTTTGCTCCTTTGGACTCATATGCACCATATTCCGGGGTTAGATACTTAGAGTTTAAGTGAGCTATACTTCCTGGTCCTCATCACACATTCTGGAAAAACAAAAACAAAAACAAAAACACACCAGGAAGGGTACCGTACCTTGAGAGGCTGGCCCCAGTCTCTGCTACAGGGTCAGGAGGGTGCTGGAAGGAAAGGGATTTTTCTTCTCCATTGCCACATCCTCCTTTCTAAGGGATAGCTGTGTCCTAGTGGTTCGTTTTGCATCTGACGTTTAACCAATCAAGGGCTCAAGATATTTGGTCTTTGTCCCTCCTTTGGAGGTAACAGAGAGATCCAAGATCTTGTTCTTCAAGATCAATTCAAAATCAAACACCAAAAAACTCCCCCAGAACCCTCAGGAAAAACCTCTGTAAAACCAAATCTCCAAACCTGCCTGGGTCTCAAGCCCGCCCCAGCCCAGCAAAGAAAAGCGGCTCACCTTTGAACTACAGAATCCCTTCCAGAACCAGAAGGAAAGGAAAAGGGATTTACGGGTCGCCTCAGAGTTGTAGGCTCTGGCTTGTCCCCAGGATGAGTTCATTATTTATTCTTAGAGACCGGACTCAAATTAAACAAACAGTGCCTATAAATAGAGCGGGATACACTCAGCTCAGTGTCACTGAAAGGTCCTTTTCACAGGGACAGATGCGCTAAAGGGATGTTTCTCAGGTTACCCTGCTGGTACTAGCGAAGAAGCGTTGTCCTTTTTCTTTTTAAGTGTCGTCCAGGAAAGGGGGAGCGGGGAAGCCGGTGAGCTGGACATGGGGGATTGGCCCGATTCTGTCTCCTTCACTTTTTTTTTTTTTTTTACTAAATTCTTACTCACTTTATAACTGAGAGGGAGCCGTAGAGGAAGGATGTCACTCTACAAACAGTTGGTCAGTTTGGCAGTTCCCGCTGGGAATGGGTCCTGGTTCAGGCTGTATTTGACAGAGTGTTCTGGTCTTTTAGATTAGATTGCAAACTCCCTAAGGGAAGGGACCAAATGGTAGTATTCCCTCTTGGTCGCTCCTATGGGGCCAAGCACGGGGACGGCTGGGGTTTCCACTGCCGACGCAGAGCCCCAAATTAAAAGGACTCCCCTCTAGCATGGGGACCCTTCCCGTGGGGAGCAAGGGGGCCTGGGCTCCCAGCCGGCCATGACTTTGCTCTGACCCCCCACCGAGCAGTACACTTGAGAGGTGCTGTGATCACATCACCGTGATAGACAAGTTGGGGTAGAAAGACCTGGCATAACTGGGGACACATATCAAGCGATGGAGCAACAAAGTCCAGTCTTTGGAGTAGCTAGAAGCTGTCACCAAATCAGCACTTGGCCAGCTCATTCCAGGCGCCGGTCGAAGCACTTGGTAAAAGCCTCATCTTTCTAAAAACCCCTACGAGGTAGGGACCATTCCACTCTCTGTTTTACAGATGAAGAAACCCAGGCACCAAGAGAGTGTGACCTTGCTCGGGGTCACAGAGCTGGTGAGTCGGGACTGGGAGGCAGGCGGTTGAACTTAAGAGCAGCCTCCTGGAGGACGGAGTACCCACCCGTCGGGTTTTAGGGGCTGGGGCCGCCCAAGCCCGGGACTCCCCATCAGCACAGGATCCAGGTCAGGCCGGTGACCATGAATCTCAGGACTCCCTCTGGGGATGCTGGGATGAAGACAAACTGAATTTCCCTCTGGAGTGGCACTGGAGGCAGGCACCTCGGGAAGTGCCACAGCCCTCTGGCCCCTCTGGCGGGGAGCCTGGCTGAGAGTGAAATCAGCACTGAGCAAGACCAGTTCCTGAGTCCAGCTGCACCTGAAGCTGCACTGCCCCTTGAGCTTTGCACTTTCAGGAGCCAGGATGTTCCCTCTAAGTTTAAGCCGCTTGAGGTTGATTTCCTATCACATGCAGCCGACAGATCCCCAGCTGAGCCTGGCTGGCCCAGAATACAGCAGAATTTGGCCACGCTAACAGCCCAGCCCCACCTATAAGCGAGAGTTCATCCTGCACTCCCTTTTCTCACCCTGTTGGAATCTTCCAGAAACACGTACCAGCAGCTTGCTCCCATGCACTCGCACAATGGCTCCATTCTCTGTTTACTGAAATCCCAAGCACTCTGCCGAAGCTTCCTTCACTGTACCCAGCAGAACTACCTACGGCTTCGCTTGGTGGCTACCATATGGAACTTGCGCTTGCACCTATTTAGCGCTTACCTTATTCTGCCTTGGAATAGCCATTTACAAGTCAGTCATTAACATTCACTGAACGCACATTCTCCACTCGGTGTGGGGGGTGGGGGGAGGCTCAGAGCCAAGACTATCATATCAGCGTGTATCTGAGCTCTTTCTAAGTGTCAGGCGCTCTGCTTAGTGCCAGCAATTATATTGAGGCATCTCCTAAAAAACCCCACAGGGCAAGTACGAATAAGATCCCCCACGTTACGTGTAACAGGATGGTAAATTGGGAGGTTCTGCCAAGACACTGAGATTTGAACAGAAATTGCAAAGCCAGTGACCAGATGAAGATGTAGATTTTCCCAGCAAAGACTTTACACCTAGTTTTAAATTTTAATCCCTCATTCACAAATCCCTAAGCCACAAAGAGGGTATAAAAGACTCAATAGGTATTAAGAGAGGATTTTACCAAGTTTTTTTTTTTTTTCAAATACCATGCTGTCATCTACCACCAGACACACACACACACACACACACACACACACACACACACGAGGTGGGGTGTTTAACTTATGCCTGCCTCTCAAGTTTGGTCAGAGCAGCTTCTTTGAGACTCTATGCAGAGTCTGATGAGCCATCCCTGTAGCTGGAGAGATGGAGACACAGGGAGCTCTGTCTGACTCATTTCGGAGAAGTCCAGAGGGTGGGAGATGTGGCCAGGAAGTTTGCAAATCCAACGCTCATTCTGGCCAAGAGTGCATGTGTTTCCCTGCAACCTCACATGAGTGAGCTGGCTGTTGGATCCTCTTAGATACTATCTCACAGGGCGGCCTAGAAGGGCCACAAGCCCTCATCAGACAGAGGCTGGAGGCATATCATCAGACACCTCGGGGGGTGAGGGGGTTCGTGGTCTGAGTTATACCGTCCTGGTGCTGGGGACTCTCCAGTACCCGCCCATGACCCCATGTGGGACTTGAGCATACCAAGAGGGGTCAACACCATCTTTTGGTTCTAATAGTCAAGTAGGGACTCCACACCCACCCACCC